GAAACAGCAGACACCAGAGTAACAGGGACACAAACATCTGAAACCACTGGAACTTTTGTCTTTGGAAGGGCTTAATATTTGATATATACAGGTATCTACGGGTATCTATCTTAGATGATCCAAAGCTAATAATTAACAAGGCATATTTCTCTTTGTATTTTTAGTTCAGTTGTTTACAGGTGGAAACAGAAGCAGCCCAAGGAGTAATTTTTCCATAGCTGTGCAGGCAGCAAAATAAAGATACCAAACCAAACAAAAACATAAAATTAAAAAATAAATCTGGAGAGGATGACAAGACTTTGTCAGGCTTTCTTTAGTAAATAGTAGATCCATGCACAAGTTTACATAATTCAGCAATTCTACATAATTCAGCAATAACAAATATGTAACACAATACACATAATCAAATGATAATGATGGAACAAGATAGTATCAAAGAAATATTTCTGATCCCACGAAAACGTGTGAATCACACAGAGGGGGGGAAAAAAAAAAAAAAAAGGTAATTTTAGTCATTACCTGCCAAAAAATGCCACTTTCATGTGTCTCCGCGACAGCACCTCACCAATGACTGCTAACTTATTTTTATATGACTGTATTTTTGATAGTTCCTCTTCTGTTGCTACATGTTCAAGCTCTGGATTCCTGTATGTTGCTACACATAGAAAAAGAATAGCACAAAAACAATCATATACAGAGTATATGCTCCAGCATTCAAGAGATTATCAGTGGCTTGCATGTCAACACAGACCTGTATGAATTTCAAATAAAGAGATGTAAACTAATGATACAAAACAAAACAATAAAAATACTCCCACCTCTATAGAGCCTGACATTAGCTTTTGTCACTTGTCATGGCTGGACCTGTCATAATTCACTGTAGATGACTCAACAGCCTAAATCTGTGGGATTTAATATCTATTATCACTGAAACAGCACAAAACACTTCTCAAGTTTCAGTGACTCTTCCTTGCCTGCAGGTGTGTTGCGGGGACAGCGTTTTGGTGACACCTGCCTCCTTCAGACAGCAAAGCTGGGACACCCAGCTTTGCTCTAGCCCAGGTGTTCTAGCCAGGCCACGCTGCCTCCTCCTGTCAGGATCAACCCGGGTGACGAGCGGCCAAATCCACCCAGCAACACGTGCTCCTCTGCATTCCCAAACTTTTGAGGGTGCTGCCAGCGCTTCCTTGTGCTCTGCCTGACCTACTTTCATCCCGGATATCGGGAGAACCTGCTTAACCTCTTCTCTGCACACGCTGCACTGCAGGATTGCTAACACCGAAGCTGGAGAGCTTTTACCCTTGCTGAACGGAGGCCACGTTACCAACCCGGATTATTTAGTCAAGCTTCTGTATATGTAAGCACCCTAAACATTTCTGATGACTCATCTGAAAATATCAATGCTCAAATGAAAAAACATGTGATTACTCTTGCACACATATATTGACAAGTACAGCATATTAATGCTCATCACAGTACACAGTGCTGCTATAAAGCAAATGCAAAGTAACTGACAAGACTCCTGGCATTTAGGACGAGGACTAACCTTCAACAAAGGTTGCTCCTTCGGTGACATAGTCCAGTAGCTGGTCAAAGATAGCAGTGATGGTCTTTTTAGCCAGCACGAAGTGTTTGAGGGGGGAGACGGTAGGTTCTGCCATTGTGCAACTGGGGAGGAAAGTTACATAAAGTGACTGGCACACGCAGGGCACTGACCTGCAGTCGAGAGTCATGCAAGCTCCCACCCAGTTAAATTAAAAAAAAAAAAAAAAAATCGCAGTGCATGTTAATAAAAAGTTAATTTACACTGCTTTTATTAGCCTAGCAAACTCTTCCCTTTCCCCTATCCTGGAGGGGGAGAAATGAATTGGGAAAAAAAAAAAGTTTACAAGGACTAAGTTTTCTTCTGTGATTTCTCGCACTTCACACCCCCGCTCCCCTCGCCGATACCAACTTTAACGCCGAAAGTCACGGATCAAAGCGCCTGAGCGCCCTGGTTCGGCCGGGACCGCCCGGCCAGCGCTCGGCCTCGCTCCCCGGCCTGGTGTCCGCACGTGCCGCACGCCCCACCGCGGCGCGGGAAGGAGGCGGGTTTTTTTTTTTTTTTTTTTTGCCCTTTTCTCTCCAGTCCAGCACGCTGTCACTTCGGCCCCGCCGCTCCACCGGCTCGGGCCCCGCCTCCCCGCCCCGCGCAGCCGCCTCACGCCGCCGCGGAGGCCGCGGGCCCCGCTCACGGCCAGACAGGCAAGGTCGAGCCGGGCCGGGCCGCCCGGGGCCCCGCGCCCCGCCGTCACTTACGGAGCGCCCCGCCGGCCGCGCGCTCCTCCGTCACCCGGCAACGGCCGCCGGCGCGGGGGCGGGTGCCGCTTCCGCTTCCGCCTCCTCCCCGCGCCGCTCCCGGCGCCGCCGCCATTTCGGGCGGGCGCGCGCGGCCTTGGCGGCGGGCCGGAAGTGCGCGGGGAGCGCAGGGCCGCCATCTTGAGCGCGTGCGGCTGCTTGTGAAATGGAGACGGGGCTCTGACCGGTTAATGTTAATTAATGTTTTAATTAACTATCAGAAGAGCGGAAACAGTAGAAGTTACCAGACGACTCTGCGGTAGCTCTCCATGTTTATTTGGGGCGTTTGGAAAACGCACCAGGTGCAGCATAACGCTGTCCTCTCAGTGACTTGTAACCGGTGTTAGACCGTGTCTCGCACCGCTCCAGAGCTTTCTACGGCCTAGGGATGGGGACCAGCCCTTGCGAACGCTCCGCTTCCAGGCCCTGCAAACTCAATAAAACAAAACAAAAACCCTTGGGAGTTCTAACAGTGTTAGCACCATAGTTTAATCAAAGTCAGTCATTACCTAGAATGACAGAAGCTAAAAATAAAGAGCTTGAAAGTGTTGCTAATTTATGTTTCATACATCACCATGAAAGAGCGTAGGAAAATGAGCAAAACCACCACCAGCAACAACCCGCAGACCATGATATGCGTTAGGGAGAACACATCACTTCAGAGTTACTAACTGACTATATTTCAAGTTCCTTAAATAACAATCATTACCTATTTCTTCTCAGTAGACTTTCGTATCAAAAAGAACTCTTGTCCAGTAACAAACATAACTCAAATACATAACATAGATTTAACCTAAAGGCTCCAAGTCCTGAAGACATGGAACCAAATACAAGCTATTTCTGAAGCTAGTCCTTAGATTCTCCAAGTCTTCAGGATGGAATGCTCTCACTGAAATGGGTGGACCTGGCAGGTCGCCAGGTAATAAAAATTGAATTTGACATACTTGCTTACTGTTTCAGGGGGAAAAAATATATATATATATATACATATATATAGACATAATTCCCTTCTGACTACTATAGGCAGTTTCTCTAAGTCAGAGCCAAGGAAAACACAAGGCTCTGTCACTGTCAGTGCAGCAGCATTCCAGTCATCTCAACTCACCTCAACACAGCAATCTTCCAACAATGACCCTTCACTTGCACATTCCATGTAAATAAATCAAACGCTGCTCTTTAATTCACAGCTACCTTTTTCTACTATTTAATATACTTGCATGTTTTAGCATGCCGATCATTTAGAAGCAAATATCCTATTGCTCTTACTCCTAGGGTAAATGAATCCATCTGTTCCATGGTTTCCACTTTGCTGCCTTTTCCTACTCAGTCTCCCAGGAAGTCTTTCTCCTGTGTTTATCAGTGCCCATCCACCTGAAACAGCTTGTAAAGAAAGGACAAGCAATTCTACCCCACCCAATTATACCAACATGAGCAAAATTAATTTTCTGTGCCTAAAAGGATTCTTACTTTTAACTATGTTATTGCTATCAGATTAAGACAGCCAGGATAAACATATTCAAAATAGGAAGCCAGCATTTCTGCTGCAGACATTGTTGCTGTCTATAAACAGATTAATAAAATACAACCATGATAGATGATGTTCTTTTCAATGATTACACAGAAGATTTAATAAAAAAACAACATTTCAAAATGATTAAAACAGTCTTGCCACCTACAGAGCAACATATGCCAACTCATATTAAGACTCGAGACACTTCCTTAGAAACTAAACTTCCTTAAGCTGATGGTACTCAGCCAATTTTTATCCCTAACTTTAAAAATCCATTGCAGACTCTTAAATACTTTGCTACTACTAACATCAGATCTCATTTGCTCAAGAAATGTTTTCTACATTAATTATATTTATACAAAGGTTGCATTACACAATCTTACATTACAAATTTACAGTCAATACAGAAAGAAATGTAAACTCCACCACTGATCTAGGGGTAATTTCACCCCAGTAACTAGCACAATCTAAATTATTTCATCCTTATTATCAGTCTAGGCATCAGTCACTCAGAAATACAGCTACCAACGGAAGCTTAAAAATTCACTTTTAAAGATTATAATATAAAGATAGCACTACTGGATGTGATGTGCAAAATTACTTGAAAATGACTGAACAGAATTTTTGTAACATGCCAGTACTTTAAACCACTACATGGGAAAAGTTTAAAATTTACAGAATTAAAATAACTGTCCTCCAGTTATCATTGGTAGAAAGCTAATTACAAAGTTACAGAATTGCTATAAACTAACAGTCTTGCTCTAAAAGAGGTTGGTGACGCACACACTTTTAGTGAGAACTATATTAAGACTTTATGATCTGTGAAGATCACAGGCTTTGTACATTCTCGATGGATCATCTGGTAAATTCCCTTACAATTGCTCCTTAAAACACAACCAATCTATAAACAAGCAGCATGTCTCACTGATGCTTGAAAGAAAGAGAGGAAGCTAAAGGAAACAAAAACCACGTGGGAAGCATGTAGTAAATGTGTGGGAATTGATGAGGAAGTAGAGAGTATTGCAGGTGGTTCAACAGATAGGAGGCAAAATTAAAAACAAAAGACAGCAACTGAATGATGAGGTAAGATAGATACTCCAACAGAACAGGCCAATTTTGAGAAGCTACCGAAAGTAGGGGTGGGAAAGGCAGCCCCACATGTGAATTTGGGAGACTTGCATGCCTGAGAATTTTCAGAGCACACTTATCTTTAGCAGGGCAGTGCTGTTTGCTAAACATAAACACACCAATCTGCTGCTGCAGAGGGCAACATGAGTTCAGCAGCAGGGAGAACACTATGGTAAGTTACTTCAGCATGAAACGATGTTGGCTTTGTCCCTGTTTAACTCTTCAGAGCTGCACATTAAACATGAAAATACAGGATGCCCTTCAGAACTGCTATTACAACATGCAACTACTCCCACCATCCCTCCCTCCCCCCCTGTATCTGATCCATCACACTCTTAAGTGTTATTTCCTACAGAAATCCCCAGGTAAGAAAATTCCCAACGCCAAGTTGTTTTGTTGATATAAAGAGCAAAACATTAGTATTTGCCATTGTACAACTGCTGTATATTGCATTTAATTTCAAATTTAGTGACCAGCTGGAAATAATTCCAATTCTAGCAAATCAGTTACAGGGAATGAACATTAATCAAACTGTGTCATGTATCTGAAGGTGATTTAAAAGATCTTTTTCATTTCCAAACCTCATTAAACAATCTGTACATTTATGAGGTAAATCTGCTGAGTGCCTGAAATCCAAATGAGTTTTGAGGTCTTCAATCTGTCCGGTTGAATATTCACAGTATTGACACAAATAAATCCCTTCAGATAAGTGAGAGCTTAAATGCTTGCAATATTCCAACATACCTGAAAAGCCCTTCCCACAGTCATCACAAACATGAGGGAATATTTTGGTGTGTTCAATAGCTACATGCCTGTTCACATTTGTGTGCAACCTGCTCCTAAAACCACACACTTGGCATACAAAGAAGTTTTTGCATTTGTCAAAGCTGATTTTGTTTATAAGACTATACTGTCCACGCTCTTTATTGTTATAGCTGTCACTTAACTCTATCAGTCGACACGCATGCTCATTCACCACATGGCTATGCAAATCCTCGGGGTCATTTGTTTCATGCTCACAGAACTGACACAAATACTGCTCGTCACAGCTGTGTTCCTGGAAGTGCAGGTACAACTCGCTGCTCGAAGAGAACTGCATATCACACTGCTCACACCAATAAAGGTGGTCGCTGAAGTGAGTGTCTGCTATGTGCTGACTTAGATTCTCAAATATTACAGTTTTGTAATCACAATATTTACAAATGTACGGATCCTCCTCATGTAGTTTTACGTGTTCGATGAGCTGCACTTTGCTGGAGAAACTCTCTTTACAAACTTTACAGACATGAGTGTCTGCACAGGTTTTGTGCTTCAGGATCATGTGCTGCTTTAGATCAGAAAAGTACTTGCTATTAAACTCACAGAGCTCACACTTATACAAGCCACTGCTGTTGGCTCTCAGCAAGGGCCATTTCTGTTGAGCTGTGATATTCAAAGCCTGGTTCTTCTCAAAGATTTTACAGGTTTCTACAGGGATTTCCTCGAGGTCCTCAGCTTCTAGCTTCTCAGGTGAAACAGTTTGCGTTTCTATATCATGAACTTCTACAGCATTAACCTCTGTTGTAGAAATTTCTACAGTTTGAATGTCAAGCGGTTTCTCCTCTTCCGTAGGGCTGTCACTGAATATAGGTGAATCACATATATCCTTGTACATTCCATTATTAGCTTTGTCTGAAAGAGGAAATAGACGATAAGAACACAAGATTAAAAATCAGAACCCCCCTCGCCCCCCACAGGACACCTGGGTTCGTATTCAGCTTTTCTGTTAGCTGTACCAGCTTACAAACTCAAAAAGCAGTTATTTTTCAATAGCCAGAATAAGTTTTGTATTTAATTAGCAAAAAAAAAAAAAAAAAGTGAACTATGACTCCTTCAGCTCTTTTGTCAAAGCAAAAAGCAAAACATAACTGCATTAACAGTCAACATCAATATTCTCCAGCTTCCCAGCAGCTACGGAAGGGCTGCTCCTGCAAACACACATGTACATTTACCTTTGTCTTTTTTTTTGGTGTCCGTATAGTGCATCCCCACAGCATTTGAATGTGACCCACTCCACTGAGAAGTCCCAGCATGGACTGGACTCCCATCATCATCAGTATCTAAACTATGTGCAGGACTGTGGTATCTACCTATAAAGGGAAAATAAGGATTTTCTTGTCGTTATTTATCTGTTCTATCATTATCAACCCCAGATCATATTTACCACTTATTCCTATTTCATAAATTTCTATACTAAAAAACCATCATAACCTATGTTAAAGAAAGTAGCACTGTTCTGTAGAAATTACTTCCATACGTGTAGATGTCAAACAAAAAATTCAAAAGGTGGCAACTCTGTCTCTATAGCAAAAATCAGCCATTTGATTATATCAGAAAAATAATGTAAGAAGCCTTACAAGAAGCTTTCAACAGCACTCTGATGCACTTAGCAAAGGATTGTACCAAACCCCTAAGTTGTAACTCTTACCTCTGTTATCAGAATACCTGATATCCGGCTGCTTCATAGAGCAGACACTATAGCAGTGATCAGAAAAAATTCCACTGTTGTCTATGTATTTGCTTACACCTGAAGAATCTAGATACAAAAAAGGAAAAAGTGAATTTTTCATTCACAAAAATTCTCCCCACTAGCCGCATTTTAACTTCCCATGTTTTAAGAGTATGAGGGAACTCTCTGCTGGCCAGATAACGCTCCTATAACGATCCACAACTTTGAGTTGCTGGCCACGAATTTCAAGCTATCAGATACAGTTGTTATCAGTCAAACCTCTGCTCCTACAGAAGACAGTAAGAGCAGCTGCCTGCTGCTCTCGGTTAGTTCAGTGCTGAACGTTTTTGATATTTCCCCCAGGCTTTCATTCGATTCCTCCCACTGTCTGTTAACAGAATCATCTTCACTCTACAGCTTGAGCAGGTTGGGAAACTTGCAGGGAGTAGAGACCAGAATTGACTAAAAGTGACATCACCCCCAGTGCTCAGGGAAGGCCATATTCAGACCAAAGCATCTTATCTCACTCTTTATGTTACTGGTTTTCCATGCGTTATCACACGTAGACCTTTCTCATAACAAAGTAATTACTTAAAGGACAATTAATCTTATTAAAGCACACACAGTTCAAGTTCCAAACCAACCTGAATATCGAGAAGGATGCAGAGTCTTCCTTTTCCTCTTTTTAGGATGTTCATTCATTTTTAATCCGTCTAGATCAATTAAAAAGAGAAAATATCCAAGAAACTGGTTAGAATTGTTTGCAGCAGGTTTATCCTCTGCAACTTTAGAAAACAATAGGTACATTTTGAAAAGCCCCAACATTACACAAAAGATTTTTTTTCCCTACTCCTATTTCTCCTCACAGCACGTTGTGTTACAGCGTCAAAAGTGAGTTCCAATTTCACATGCCTGAGGTGGAACAAAAGGGTAATGAGATTCACCCATAAACACAGCCAGGTCAGAGCTCTTGTCACTCCAGTATTCAGGCACCACCTGCAAAGCAGTTTCCCTGCATCCTACTGCCCTTAGCCCAGGATCTCCCAAATGCTTTTTTTCCGAGGCAGCAAACTCCAGATGAAATTATAACGTTGAAAAGAGCAGCAGAGGCTGTGCTGTCCATCTTACCCAAATCCCTGGACTCCTCCGTATCAGCAGGAGGAACAGCAGCTAAGATGATGCTGCCTGTATAGCTTTCAGCTAGAGTGAAAACTGCAGCGAGAGATCTTCAAACGTGGACCTGCAGCATTGTGAAAGCACTTCAAACCTGCAGTGCAAAGGAAAAAGCACGGAATCAAGAACAAAAACATTAAAAAAACCCAAATGACAGGCACTATTGTTTTTCTTTTGTCCCAGGCTAAGGGGCCGCACTAGGGAGCTCCGCGCGGTGACACGGCCGGACAGAGGCAGCCCCACGGCCACAGCGGCCGGGGCAGCCGTGAAGAAGGGAAGGTGCCAAACCGAGATGCGGTTCACGGCTGCGCTGCGGCGCCGATGGGATCTCGCAACGCAGCCCTGAGAGCACAGAAAGGCGCCCGCCGCCACCGCGGCCCTTCCGCGGGGCAGAACATTCCGCGTGCACCGTGGTTTGACTTAAACGGGAGAAAAACAACAGCACGAGGCGGGGAAACGGCTCCGTCGGAGCACGCCAGTTTGGAAAGGTTTAACGGCCCCGCGGCGCTTTCGTGCCCGCACCGGCCGCGCGTCGCCCCCGCCCGCCGCTCCTCGGCCACGTTCGGCAGCCGGGCGCTCCCGGCCGGAGCCGCGGGCCTCGCCCGCGGCGCGCGCGGAGGGAGGCGCCGCC